TATAAATATTGTCTTCAGCCCTCACTGTCACACTGCTCCTGCAGAGCTAAAAGGTTGTAACTACTGCAAGTTTTTCCCTGCTCTATTTGCTCCCAAGAAGCCACTCCGTAGCCACAACACGCTCTTCGAAAACTACTTCACCTTTGTGTCGGACAAGGTCACCGGCACTTCTTCATTCCACTCAACGCCTCTGCGAGGCCACTGCTCTTCGTGACTTGGAAACTCAAGCTGACGTGGAGGTTAGGCAGCACTCCACGGTGGTGCATTGGGGAGCCCTAAAGGGAATAACAACTACAAAGATGATTATTATATCCAGCAAGCATCTACTGTTTGGCTTCTTCGATAGTCCTTAGAACCAGCATCAGAGCGAGGCCGCAGTAGCGTGGAAAAGAAAAATATGTTTCTTTGCAAACTTAATGTTACTTTGCACGTCACATAACTGACAGTGACAACGAGTGATAGTCTTGTGAACTATTTTATGGCTCATAAGTCATAATATGTTTCTTTGCAAACTCTTAATGTGATGACTTAATGCGTGGAACACCATATTTGTTTTCTTAATTTAAGTACGTGAGACATCAGCTCTTCGAGTGCAATTAAATGTCTATTTATATTGATTATTCATGATATATGTACTTACAATTATGTGAGACTATCAGGTGCCACTATTAGAACTTGTTGTCCGCTATCCGTAATCCGCTACCTCGATACCGATCCGCTACAAACCCGCTATACGCTATTTATTACCTTGATCATGAGGGTGAAATTAAACAATGTGGAGAGTTACCATCGCCATCGCCCATCGGATGGTAAGTTTCACTAGAAGAGAACGCTGGTTAATGTTTCGGTAATTCCAACAATACAACTATAGATTTAGATCCTGTTTTAGATCAATGAGTGGTAATGGTTTGTGGTTAGGTGGGCTACTACGCCTAGTCAAGCACGCCCCGGTGACTGGAAGGCGCACGCTGGGACGCCCGAACTGATCACAGATAGTAGTAGTAGCAAGAGAAGCAGACAAGCCAACTTTGTTCTGACACGCATTAAATTTGAAACAAAAGTATCAGAAAACGACAGTTTTTGTTCGGATGATCGCCAAAACCAAAAGCAGTTGAAAAGGCCGTCCGTGTTGCTTATGCGGTGGGAAGGTCGACGCGGCCTAAACTTCCAGATTGATTGAGATGGTGATCAACATAGCTAGCGCCTAGCGCTAGGTGTGTGCGTGCATGGCGCTGGCGCAGTGGAAAACTTCTCTCATCTCTGATCTCTCCCACGAACGTCCTCCTCCTCCAACCCTCTCGGCTCTCCCGAAGGAAAAAGTGGTAGCGCCCGTGGTGGATCGGACCGTGTGCCTTAGCCGTACGTGGACTGCGAGTACTTTGTAGGCCCCGGTGAAATAGGCCCTAGTTTGAATCAAATTTTTAGTACTCGGACGCGATTCCAATTTTAGTCTGCTTTAGTTTTTTTTCCCAGATCGAATTTATCTAACTTTCATCAAATTCAATTTTTTATAAAAAAACTATTAAGATCTACAAGTTAAAATAAATAAACTATATATATAAAGAAACATATTTCATGAAGAATTTACTTGAACTATTTTATTATTGTAGACGTTGATAAAATGTGTATACTGTTTTTTTTTTCTCTTTTTGCCGTGGTGCCATACGTGCATTTCGTTAGGAGAGAAAGGTACGAGGAAAGGAATATGGGAAGCCAAGGCTTGCCAACCAAAAAAAAAAAGTTTCAGTATGAATACACAACCTGGACAAGGGGGAAGGAGCAAGAGAGAAATTTATAAAAACCTTCCATCGAGCTACTAATAAAGGCTTCCCCAACGTAAACAGACACAATTGTTAGCCCTATTAAAAAACATAATGTTCCACCTATGCAATAGGTGAATTGAGACCAATACCCTATTAAAACATTTTCTTCATCCCTCACTTCCTGCAACATTTTCCCTTCTCTCCCAGGAAGCCACTCCCTAGCCACAACATACTCGACAAGGTCAACGGTGCTTCTCCACTCCACTCAGCGTCTCTGCGAGGCCACTACTCTTGGTGACTTGGAAACTCAACGCTGACGTGGAGGTTGTGCAGCACTCCACGGTGGTGCATTAGGGAGCCCTAAAGCGAATAACAACTACAAAGATGATTACTATATCCAGCAAGGATCTATAGCCTATTCGTTTCAGCTGAAACGATTGTGGCTGGTTTGGTGTGAGAGAAAAATACTATTCTAACTTATAATTCACAATCGTATACGATCGTATAAGCCCAGCCGAACAGGCTGCTACTGTTTGGCTTCTTGGATAGTTCTTAGAACCTAGCATAAGAACGAGGCAAGGTGCAGCACCGCTAGAATACTCGACCATTCTATTGCTCCACGGCATGCATCTAGGAAACCAACTGGGACAATGATTCTAAACATTAAACCAACTGGGGACACGAAACAAAAAAAAAAGAGAAAGGGAAAGAGGAAGAAGAAAGCGGTAGGGGCAAGAATATCATTTCACCGCTGTTCTCTTTCCTCGACCGGCTGCAACCAGTCCGCGGTGTCCTGTGGCATAATTTCACCGAACCAAAGTTTCTTCTGACAAAATGCTCCAAAGTGGATGTCCGTCAGCAAAGAATCATCACTTTAGATGTTCAATAGACAATTGTTCCTTTTTTTTTACCTTTTTTGTCGTTACCAGGCCGAAAGATTAGTTTCGTGCTAGCCACTTCTGGTTCCACGTGGACCTTGATACCTTAGAATACTTTCAAGTGAGAGCTACATATACCATTATCTGTAAACTCATGGATTAGCTAGTTTGTTAGGCTAAGAACCGCCAACAAAGATCTGGCATGAGGCGTTGGCATATCATGTCGACAAGCAAAAGTAAATCTAGGTAAATGCAGAGCATGTTTGATTGATGGTTCGGAAATTTAGCATAGGTCACGACTCGTTCAACTTGCACCGATCATTAAGAAGATATTTAGAAGCATTACTAATTCAACTGATTTGGCAATCGTCACTACTAATTCATTCAATCTTTGTATATAAATTGAACAGAACAATGTGGGAAAAAAGTCTTCTTATCTTATAGTAGGAGTATTATCACATCATCATTGTGATTACTACAGTATTCTACATGACTCTACTAGCCGAGGATCCATCATTTTTTTTCAGAAATGTTATACAATACACATGTGTTTTAGTATAAAAAAACACATGGATTTTTTTTTGTCCCTCTCTTCCTCTTTCTTTTCAACTGTCTTCTCGTCCTTGTGCTCGTCGCGGGATAGCATTCCAACGAGCGGGTCGTCGACGTGACGGAGGCCACGCCGCGCACGCGTTCAGGTCCGACGGACGATGCTCCTCCCTGCTGCTTGCAGTTACCTCTGCTGTCGACTGGGAACCTTTTTTTGTTCTTGCATAGAAAAAAATTGTTTCTCGTGATCTGTGGATCTGTGATCTTGTGATTTGTGATTGTCTGGAGGTAAAAGAAGGCTGGAGGTAGAAGGAGGCTGGAGGCTATTGGATCTTAATTATATGGTACAATTTTTTTTTTTACTGAATCCGCGCGAGGCTGCCAGGCTGGGACCCCGGATAGGTGAAAGTGAACAGCGAAGTCGCCGATTGGCTCAGCGATGCGCAGAGCAAAGTGCGCGCTGCCGCCCGTTTTGTCGTTTTGGCAGCCGGCGCCCTGTGCGGGGCAGCAGCAGCCGGGCCGTGAAACGCCGTACCCGTACGGGAAAGCTGCGCCTGTGCGGGGGTAGCCAGCTGCGGCGTGGTGGTGGTGATTCGAAGGACACCACGCACCGCAACCAGTGGTGGTGGTAGTGGTAGCGAGCACGCAGGCAAGCAGCAATCTCCTCTCGATCGCCGGCACGGCGCAATGGAACTCAGAACTCGGAAGGGACGGGACCAACCAAACCATAGGGTACCGCTCGCCTTGAGGTCCTTGTTGCCGCCCCTGGCGTGGCGTTGGTAGCGCGCGTGCGTGCCATCGCCGAGGAGACAAAACGGAGCGAGGCCTGTCTGCGTGCGCCGGCCGGGGAGCGCGTGGGGAGGACCAGGATGGAAGCCAGAGGGCCAGGCCGGGCTGGGGTTCACAATCACCAGATACGCGATGGAGGACGGACGTGCTTGGAGGGGACCTACAACAACGTACTACAGGAAAACGCCTCTTTGCCGACTGCTTGCCCCGGTCGGCAAAGGCATAAACCTAGTCGGCAAAGGCTTTGCCGACCGCAGCTCACGCGGGCGGTCGGCAAAGCCTGGGTCGGCAAAGGCGGGATTTGCCGACCGCCACGCACACATTGGCTAAAAGCCTTTGCCAACCGCCACGCCAGCGATCGGCATAGCCACGTGGCGTCGCCACCGACGGCGAGGCTTTGCCGATTCTCGCCGGTTCCTCGGCGATCGGCAAAAGAATTTTTTTTTAAAAATTGTTTGCCGATCGCCGCCAAACTTCAGCGATCGGCAAAGAAAGAATATATTTTTTTTGAATGTTCTTTGCCGATCGCTTTCGGAGTTGCAATCGGCAAGAGTTTGACCTCTTTGCCGATCGCCTCCCATCAGCGAATCGACAAAGACTCACATCTGGGGTTTTGCCCGCTTTTGCCGATCGTAAGCGATCGGCAAAGCTGGAATTTTTTTTTTTGCTTTTGTTTTCTGTTTTCTCGCATCAAAACCCTGCAAAATCACAAATTATAATCCAATTTCACCAGAAGCACCGGTAGCACCATTTATATCACAATTTCATCACATTTGTCGCCAACATCACCACATATATCACAATAACGCACAACATCACATATATCTCACATATATGTCACAATAACAACCACACAAGTGCATTACAACCATCACATGAAGTCCAACACGTCGAACACCACAAGTCGACGTCCATCACACGAAGTTCAACATAACAAGTCTAGGTCCATAACGAAGAAAAGAAATACATGACAACAACTTCGACGATACGGTGGATACATGATAACAGAATCGACAAGTACCTAGCTCGTCGCGCCGTCCCCGGTCTCGTCGTCCGCTCCGCCCCCAGAGCCCCCAGGGTTTGCCCACGGAAACCCCCTTGGACCAAACTGAGGCGCCTGCGCGTACTGCCACCCTCCGCGCACCGGCGGCCACGAGTACGTCGGAGGAGGGCCACGCGGAGGTGGATACGGTGGATAGGGTGCAGGTGGTGGATACGACATCATCTGATGGCCGGGACCTCCAGGAGACGGGTTCGAACCCGCCGACTGTACCTGCACAAGTTAAACGCCAAGTGATGTCATTAGTATCTGCAGCATGGACGCACAAGTTAAAGCAAGAGTCAATATACTCACCGGGGTCCCTCCAGGAGCGACAGGAGCAGGCACAGGAAAAAACTCTGGAGGAGGAGGCGGTGGAGCGAACATTGGAAGAGGAGGCGGTGTAGACGCCCCGGGCGTCTGCATGGACTGGAAGAAGCTGGCCATGTTCTGCATCTGAGTGTTGTAGTGCTGCTGCAGGCTTTGCTGGTAAGCCATCTGTTGCGCCATCATCTGCGCGTGCAACGTGGCGATCCTCTCCTCCATCTTGGCCTCCATCTGGGCCTGCAATATTACATCCGCAGTGTTGATTGTATGTACAAAAGCGAAACGAGTGAACGACGAACGAAAACGGCACTTACCGTGACGCCGATCGCCGCCGGGCGCTACGGGATGTCAGCCGGAGCTCGTGGGCGGGATCGAACACTGGGTCGTCAGAGGAACTCGGACGGGTCGAGGGCGCCAGGGCCATGTAGTAGCGTTGTCGCTTCCTGGTCCCAACCTCTGCAGGAGGTCTCGTGTCCGTGGCTCGGCGGTGGGGTCGAACGCCTCCCGTGTAGCGCCGGCGAGCCACGACGGTGTACTCGGTGGCCTTCTCATAGGCGGTGGGGTTGGTGTACGCGCGGGCCCGTCCTCCGGGTTGTAGAGCGTTGTTCGGATCCGTCGCCTTGCCCTTGTGAGAGAGGAGGTACGCGGTGTACTTTCGTTGATTTCACGCCCACCGCATGCGTCTGCGGCTCGCATTGAAAACACAAACATGGTTACAAGTATTGACAATTGAGCGCAAGGATTAAGACATGAACGGACGATACCCATCTTGTCGCGAATCGGGGAGGGGCTGATTCCCTTGGTGGTGTGACACCCTCGATCTCTGCGCCCGGCGTTCTCGACGATCGGCGCGCCTCGCGTCACGCCTCATCCGTCGCCACATACCCATCGGGAACTTTAACATCTTGAACAGATCTCTCAACACCGAGCCTTTACTTTCTTCTTCTTGTTCCTCACTCTCAGCTGGGGGACACAGCATCCGAATCGACCCTTTAGCGGTGGGCCAAATGCATGCTCCAGAACTCGGTCGTCCCCCTCGATCCATTCGTGGCTCTTACTTGCGAAGCCCGAGTACATCCACTCACGGTCACCCATGCTCATCATGCGGCAATGTTAACATGTGATAAAACCAAAGAAGTGCATCTACAACGCTTCCCTACCATCTAAGGTGAAGGATAGGTCCTAATCCCACCCGAGAGATGCGCAGACGAGGTTAGCTTCCATGCTCGCTCCGTCCGAGAGAATTTCAGGCAAGACTTCCCCTTTTTCTCCGATACACGTCCGTGCGAGAGTGTGTATCCAGAGAACAACGGGAGGTCTCATGAAACTCCGACTTTCGGACGGGAGCGGAACATGGAGCTAACCTCGTCATGCGATCTCTCGGGCTGTCCAAATATCGTGGACAATCCGAAATGGATACGGTTATACATATGCGAAGAACGCATACTTCCAACCGTATCCGTTTGGACGGAGACGCCTAACCGGGTAACGCGACCTATGACTACATGTGGCGGAAAGAGGGTCATACCGTAGGTGCCGTGAAGAAAGGCTAAGCGGGCGGGCCGAAGTCGTGCTCTCCTCGGCTAGCCTCCAATGGGAGCCCTCTCGAAAAAGAAAAACAATTAGTGAGAACGAAAAATTTGGCGGCACTCTCCCACATGACGGGAAGGTTACCAAACCTGCAAGAAAAGACGGCACACGATGGCCGACAAACACATATACATGTCGAGCACGATGGCCGACAACCACAAATGTATTTCCAATCCATGCGAAGAATATAAGGTGTATTAACAAAGTAAATTACTACTACTAGTAGTACTACTACCTCGTTGCCACGACGACGGCGCCACCGGCAAGATGGAGCGAGCGGCGCGCGTGGCGAGGACGGCGAGGCGGGGACGGCGCAGCGAGGCGAGGACGGCGCAATGGCGAGGCGAGGACGGCGAGGCGAGGACGGCGCAAGGCGAGGACGGCGACGCAGGCAGGCCATGGACGGCGAACGGCGCCAGCGGACGGCGGACGGCCACATGGACGGCGGGCGGCGGACGGAGCGGGCACGGATCGGATCGGGCGGGCAGCGGCACAGCCCGGGGTCGGGCGAGGGCAGGCACCATGGGGCCGACGCCGAGTCAAGACGCTGGCACACACGGCCGGGGCGGATCGGGCGGGCACGGTGAGGGGCTCTGGCGGGCTGGCCCAAGCCGGAGGGGCCCAACATGGGGGGACGCACATGGGGTGGCCCAATGGGGGGGAGCGGGGGGGGGGGCGCCAGGGATGGTCAAGCACCACGGGAGGGACCAACATGGGGGGGGGCGCGCGCCACGGGAGGGCCACTGCTGGGAGGGCGGGCGCCAGCACGGGAGGAAGCAAGGTGGGAGGAGGAGGAGGGATCCACCCCATGGGAGAGGGAGGAGGGCGGGGGGGGGGGCGCTGGGATGGGCGCTTGGCGGCCGGGCCGGGCGACAGCGTCGACAATGGCAACGGCCTGGTGTGCGGCGGCAAGCGAGCGGTTATTTGGGGCAAAGTGAGGGGATTTTGGGGAGGGAGGGTGGGCTGCTTGATAAGGCGACGTTTTTTTTTTTTTTTTTTTTCCTTTGCCGATCACCGCAGCGACATGTGACGCAATCGGCAAGAAGGTCTATTTTTTTTTCAAAAATTATTTTTTAATTTTTTAAAAATACTTTGCCGACGCTTCCGCTCCCTGGCAGCAAATGGCAAAGGTTATTTTTTATTTTTTCTCAGAATTTTTTTGCGATTGCCATCCTCCCCAGCAATCGGCCAAAACTATTTGCCAACTACTGATCGATGGCGCTTGGCAAAAAGAATTAATTTTTTTTTGATCCCGAGTTTTTTGTGTTGCCTTACTACAGTAAGTACATGATATATTCCAAGTTTGGGGTCATTTTGATTTATTTTGCTATATTCCATTGATTTTTTACATTTCATTGATTTTTGACACTCGATTTGAGCTGCGTCCATGAAATAATGGAATCGACGATTGCCACTTGCTCGAAATGATGTTTGGAGCATGTTGACCACGTAGTGTCCGAGGACCTCGCGTGAAATTCGGCCGTGTTGGTTTCGGAACATTTTCGACCCGCTTCGATTTTATAAAATTTTAAAATGATTTTCACGCTGCGGGTTTCTAATGTTCCGACACCAACACGGCCGAATTTCACGCGAGGCCCGCACACGGCCTCAACATGCTCCAAACATCATGAATATCATTTTCAATCGCCGGATTCCATTATTTCATGTACCGCAGCTCAAATTGAGCAAAAAAATCAAAGAAATGTAAAAATCTACTAATATAGCAAAATAAATCAAAATGATCCCAAACTTGGAATATATCATGTACTTATCAGATCAAGGCAACACAAAAAACTGGATCGAAAATCAAAAAAATAAAATTTTTTTGCCGATCGCCAGGGAGGATGGCGCTTGGCAAAGCTCTGCGCTTTGCCGATCACGACGCGAGTGGCGATCGGCAAAGGTGACGGTGTGGATGGCGTCAACCATGGCCTGCCTTTGCCGATCGCAATTCTTTGCCAACTGCCTGGCAGTCGGCAAAGCCAGGCAGTCGGCAAATCCTGCTTTGCCGACTGCAGGAAATTCCAGTTGGCAAAGGGACCTCTTTGTCGAGTATCGAAAAAAAACAGTTGGCAAAGAAAATTACAGTCGGCAAAGAGCCAGTTTCCTGTAGTGAACCTGACTTGTTTTTTACTGGTGGCGTGGCACACCTACACTCGAGTTCTTCTTCGCCCTAGCACTGTTTCTCCTTGCGTACAGTACGTCTCTACATGCTCTCTTCTTCGAGCTCCTGAGCACATCTACATGATCACTTGTCAACTGTCACCTGGTCTACAATATAGAAATGCAGTCATCTCAAGATATAGGAGCGTACGTAATGGGTGGGCCGGGACGACACAAGAGGGCTACAGGATGCGCGTCGGTAGCTACTAGCGACGTAAAACCACCGCAGGAGATCAACAAATATTGTCATGTACAGTCCATAGAGACCATGTTCTTACGACAGTAACCAATGATACAGAGTTTCCACTACTAATAAACATCACAACGAATTATATTATTGGCAGCGAGGAATTTCCTTGGCGTCCAAAATGATACCTCGCCGCGGCTGCCCACGCTCATCTTGGCGGGGGTGGAGGCTGCCCATCCCGCCGCAGCCGAGGGAAGCTTGCCCGCGTGCAGCTCATAGCAGCCCGAGCAGAGCCCGCCCGCACACATCTCGCGCTCCGCCTGCCCAACTCTCGCCGTGGCTGGGCAGAACTCGCTCGCGTGCAGCTCGTGACGGCCGGGATGGAACTCGCCCACGCGCAGCTCGCTGCGGACCTCACCCCACGCACAGCTCGCGCTCCACCAGCACAGTGTGGAGACCCACCGCACTTTCTCCACCGGACCTGCTGCGGCCTTCTTCACCAGACCTGCTGCGGCCTTCTCCACCAGAGTGGCGAGGTCCGTGCCACCGCGCGAGCTCTACAGTAGTAAATTCCACACGCCGACGAGCCTCCATTCTCCCAAGCAGTAAGGAGATGTTGCGCTAAAACCGCATGTTGCAAACATATATTTGAAGTGTTTCAGATGTTTTAGAGGTATGTTGCAGCAAGTGTTTCATATAGATGTTGCAAACGTATATCGGGATGTTGCACATGTTGCAATGGCCGTACACGTACGTTGCAAGCGTCTGTTCCAAATATTTCATCTGTTTTTAGACGTATGTTGCAAACTTGTTTATTTGGATGTTGCATATGTTTTACACATATGCTGCAAGTGTTTTATCTGGATATTGCATATGTTTTTCAATAACTTTTTCAAATGTTTTCATGTGTTTCAGACGCATGTTTCAAGTGTTTCATCTGTCTTCAGACGCATGTTGCAAATGTTTTATCTGAATGTTTCAAAAGTAAATCGGATGTTGCATCTTCCTCCTCGCTTTCTGCTGCCTCGCCTCGGTGTCTCCTCCTCCTCCTGGCACCAGCTGGGCATCCGCCGCCCCCTCCTCTCTTTCTCGATGTTGGTGATGTTCGGGGTGGCGCGGGTCCCACGTGGGTGCGCGAAACGGTTGCAGGCGCGCGCGAGCGTCCAGACGCTAGCAAGCCCGTAAACTTAGGGATTGATTTGTTATGGTGATTAAGAACCGCCGACAAAGGTATGGCATGAGG